ATTATTTTGTCAGTAATTTAATTAATCAACGGACGTTATATCTTAAACATGGGGAGATAAATCGATCAATTGAATTAATATATTTAATCAGTGGAGACGAATTAATTGTAAATCGGAGCTAAATGGGGAGAGCAATAATATTACTCTAGTGGAATGTTTTATTATTTAATTCCAAGATTAAGGAATTAGGAATTAATTATTTTCTATAATTCCCTAAGGATGGGAATATTCTTTCTAGAATATTACCTAGGGTTAGGAGACTATGGAGTCTTCTAGAAGGTAATTATTTAATTAGGAATATTATCCTAGATGGGAAAAGGAGATGGAAAATAATAAGGATTCCTAAACCTTAAGGAATAAGCCCATATTTAGCACCTCCTTTAGGTCCCTATTGTAGCCTATAAATACACTAGGTCCGCTAATCTCTTGGACAGGCTTTACACGTTTTTTCTCCCCGAAGGGCTGGAGAAATTCGGCCTCTTCAAGCGAGAAAGAAATAGAGAGATTCTTCTTCGAGAGAAAATTCGGTTAGCGCCGTAAGGTCTTAGAAGAAGATGATCAAGAGGTTTTGGGAAATCTAATAAATCGCTCCACCAAGATTTATTAGAGATCGTGTAAAGGTCATACAATAGAAGATTCGAAGGTTGTTAATTCGTATCCCCTTGAATATAATATTTTCCCAAAATATTTTAGTTCCAGCAATTCGCGCGCCTGCTGTTGCTCCCAGGTTTTCAGTCCGCAATCAAATACTTCATAATTTGCCCAGAATCAATTGACGCAACAGGGCGTTTGGTGTGATGGCGTGCGACGCTGTCTTTCCGTGCGGAGGTCGCAGGTTCGATTCCTTCTCCTTGCAAAAATAGGAGATTTCTTTTTGTTCCAGGTGCGCGGGCTTTCTGGCCCGCATCAGGCCCGCGCGCGGCCCGATCCCTCACCCAGTCTTCAGCCCGCGTGAGCCCAGATCCGCCAGCCCGAGTCTGCGGCCCAGCAGCCTTGCCTTCGGCCCAGTTTGATGTTCCCTTGGCCCAAAAGCGTGGTCCGCGGCCCAGCTTGCTCCAGCGCGGCCCAGCGACGTAGAGAGCGGCCCAGATGCGCCCAGAACACCACCAGCACGGCCCAGGCATAGTTCAACCGGTCCAGGCAGTCTCAGACCGGGCCAGATCGCGACCAGCCAGCCCAGACCCGGTCCAGGAGCGGTCCAGCGTGCTCCAAACCGGCCCAGCAGGTCCAGCAGCTCTGGTTCGTGTCCAAGGCGGTTCCTGAGCGGTCCGAGGAGTCCAACTCACTCACCGAAGGTCCGAGACGATCGAATGAGCTTGATGAGCGATTGGAGCACCATGGTGACTCGATTAGAATCGAGAAAGGCCAAGTCTAGCTGCCCATTAGACTTTGGTGTTCAGACGATCTCCATCAACGGAA